GTTAAATTTTATTGTATAAATATGATTTGTAGAATTAAACGTGGGTTATAATTTAAACTATTAACAAATAAAACGATTGCTTAGTCACAGTGACTATAGGCATACATATATAATCACATTATACCTTACAGACATATGACATCATTATAATATAGTTAAAAATAATGAACTTTTTGCCAGGTTTCTGTTTTATCATCTTTCTTTAACAATTAATACAATTCACCTCTAGAATCAGCACATCAGGTAGGAAATATTCCCACTGAGTGTGCAAACGACCGACGATTGTGTGTCCAACGATTACATTGAGTCATGCGTTTGAGTCAGATGATTGGATTAAACAAAAATGTATATCTACAGAATACACGCGTAAGCATATACACACAAGCACACAAACAGAAGACGTTCGAAATTCTGTTTTCTGGTTTGATGTTGTGTATATATCCATGCTTTCATATAATTCCATTTGTAGCAACACCGAATCAAACCTACTACAATAGTTATACTAGTAGAATGAGTTTATTGATTTTTCGGTATCCCAAACTATTTTATAATTTCAGTTTAAACTTTGGTCTTTTCAGTTTTCGATTCGAATCAATTTTTTTTAATAAAGATACAAAATAAAAGCTTATTGTACATCTTAAATCTTTATATGTACGAGGTGTAGAGATATTATTTGTGGCACACCAAAGCAGTTTTTTTCAATATCAAGTTACTGTGCTGTTAGACTACTAAGGCAACTCATTTGTATAGTTATGGAATTAAAATCAGATCGAGTTTGTGTGAAGCATTCAATTCGTACAGATATTTATTTATATATGGGCATTCAACGTATTCTTATTTGACTTTCAAAGATTCAAGTAACGCAAATATACCCTACGACAGAGTATCTTTTGAAAAGCTCAAACGTTGAACTTTATTATCTAAGTCAGCAGTATCTTGAGTATAAACAGACTTTAACATCCGTGAATGACTAAAAGTGTATAATATAGAATCCGGTTTTAATGAGTTTCTATCTATGCATCTGCATTTTGTATACATACTACAATTTTATCATTGAATGTTTGAAAGTTCAATTACATCATATTAAGAGTATATTTTCATAAGATTACTAATGAATCTAAGTTAGAAAAAAAAGAGTAGAACACAGTATATTTTACTAAGAATAAATATCTTTAGATTAACTCATCAAAAAAATAAATTAAACCCATAAAATTGTCTACATTTAAAAAATAACAAAAAATATTTGTATTTTGCAAGAAATTTCCAGAACAACACGGAATGTTTATCATTAAGCAGCTGCATTTCTATAACATTCGTCCATAGGTTTTCTCAATAATTAAGAGGATAGCTATATTAAAGTATCTTAGCAAAAAACGCTATGCTTTCACTACAAACATAGTAGAGATAATAACATAGCAGTCCTATTTGCTTTATGTATTTTCCTTACCTGTCGTCTTAACTACCTTTTTCGTTTGAAATTTCCTTGATATATATACAAAAGAAGAGATATACATATATTACATCTACTACGCACCATTCATTTTTGTAGTGTAGTTAGTGAATTTCGACAATAACAGCTGGGCTATTGCCTTGAGTTTCTTATACAAATACAAAATAATGTATGCATAGCAATGTACTTTAAATACCTTAATGCCAGTATTAACTATACTTTATAGTAAACTGAAAATACCTATTTTTAGATACATTTCTAATTTGTTTTGTATGCATGTCGAAATATCGTGTATTTGTACTTCAATAAACGCGACAATACTTATAAAAAAAAATTATTTACTACACACCCAGTTTAGAAGTACGCCCCAAAAATTAAATACTGATGCCATATCTCTAAAGAGAAACACATTTAAGTGTCCAACAAATACAAAAAAGCAAAACAAAATATATATCCGAAATACCGCACCCTACATATGTGTAGCACCCACCTATAAAACCAATACATAGTTCTAAAAGAAACTAAAGTGAAATAAATTTAGGTTTAAACAGCTAATGCGATTCCCCTGGTAAAAGCTCAAAAGAGCAATTGAGTCTAAATTGTAAATGAAGGAAATATATCAAATCAAAATCTAAATATCACAAATCAAAAATATTAATTTGATTAAAAATTTGATATTTTGGAGAAACTTTATATAAAATTATATATATAATTAGTGTTCTGTACACATATATATTTAAATATGTAGTATAATAATTCTATTAAAAATATATTATAATTTGAAAATCCAATCATGATAATTATGTTAACTAAAATATTATTTTTGGAACTCTACAATTAGTAAAAATTTTTAGCACAAGCTAAAATATATGAATTTTTCTACCTTAAACTGAATCTAAAAGCAAAAACTGCTAAAACGAAATTCAGTTCTAATGAATTTGTACCTTCCATGTACTATTCAAACTTTATATCGAACAATACCTTTTTGGTTTCTAATTAACGTTTGACAGTTGCGGAATTAGAACAAGGCGCCTTTATATACCATTGTTTTTGAATAACAATTAATATATTATAGCATACCAAAGTGAAGTGAATGTAAGGCACTTTAACATTGAATATAAAGCAGTAGCGGAATAGGAACAAGGCGTTCTTTCGTGTATTAATAAATTATATTTACCAATTGTAAATTGTAATAGATTATTTTCAAAATCTGAATTGTAAATGATTAACAAAGAAAACAACGAGAATATTAGTTTTGGTTTTAACCAAAACTTATAATTTTTTCCACAGAACGTGTTGTTATAAACTAATTATTTATTAATATTTTCTATGGCCATATACACATATATTATTTGTTTTTCGACAATTCCCTAACGGTACAAAGTCGAACTATACCAGCTCAAAAACTGAACAGCTAGCTTTTCGTCATACAGTGTATGGGCATCGTTAAAACGTTTCAGTTTTAAAACTTTACATTCTTTTATTATTCGAATTACAATATTTTATGCAAAACGGATATTCGAATAGTTACAACTAATCCGGATATTAAAATTATTTTAATAGGTAGACAAATAGTTAAAAAAAGTTTTAATTAACTCGTTTTTAGGTTAATAATAAGTTTAAAATGGTGGAGTAATAAGATTACAATAGACTAATCGATCTTACTCCATTTTTACCATTATACTAGAACTGAATATTTATTCGTATCACCCATTTTTTGTGCGGTAAACTAGCACTTTTGTGTCTTTTTAGCATTTTTGCCTGAAAGTCAGATTATGGCCGTGAAAGTTAATTATAACTTAATATAGTCTAATTAAAAATATAATTAAACTAAACTCGTGAGAACCTATCTAAGTGAAATCAAACTGTATGAAAAAAGTTTGTTGACATATTTTAATATTACATTAATATAGTCAAACTTCCAAAACCCGAAGTACCATTTTGCAAACAAAAGATTCGACTTATGGAGACATTGAGTTAAGGAATTTTTTGTAATTGTATATAATTTGCTCCCTGAACCATGTTGCACTCAATTTAGTTCAAATTATAGAAAATGTGAGTTATGAACATTTGACTGCATATGTAAACACATATTTATGTAAATACAACCATTAAAAAATTCATGAAAGAAAACAAAATATTAGTAATTCAACAAGACCTAATACTAGATTGACTGATGAGATGTGTTCGGAATTTTGATATTCCAATATCTCTTGCCTTGTTAGTAACGTGATCTCTTTGAAGTATAATGTTAGAATTGGAAGTAGAGATATATTATTGATATATTGGAGATATATTATTGATACATTGGAGATATATTATACATTAAATATTTTTAAGACAATTATCAAGGAATTTATCAAACATCAAATATATCAAATTGTAATATTATAAAATTTTTAACTAGTGACAAAGAGAACAATTTATTAGTTAAGAGTTTTCCAACTGTAGACAAATCAAAAAATATTACAATAAAAAACAATAACAAATTAGTTATATATTGAAAATTATGTAATTCAACATTTATAACAAATTTATATATACATATAGAATATCTTAAAAAGTTATTATATTATTTGTAGTATAGCAGTCTCAAACATTTCAAGTAAATTCCCTAACTTAATATTTAAAAGGTTAAAATAAAAACAGACTAAACTCTTTTTTAATAAAACTATCAAATGCTTTATACACATAAGACATTGATATAAGATAATTTATTCTAATCTTCGAAACGTAGATACCAGATTATAAGCTAACAACGATCGCGTCAGCTCAAATTGAGATTTATTAATATTATAAGATAAAAATATATCTCACATTCCTACTAGTATTAAAATATTATAAATAATATTATTTACATACAGATAAACATATATGTGTTATAATAACACATATAATATATTATATATATATATATATAATAATATACATATTAATATATATAATAATATATATTAATTAATATATATTACTGTTGTTTTTAGATTATAGTAATATTTTTGTTTTTATGCATTTAATACTATTATTATTTACATATATGTAAATACAAATAGAATAATACTATGTTAACTTAAACTTTTTTATTTACACTTCGCCCCGATAAATAAAAATAACAACACAAAATCCGCTCTTTACTTTTGAAGAATATTGCAAGTATTCAATCACACACACAAACGTTATTAAAACAATATCTTTTATAAATTTATCTAACATCAAAACATCACATTAATTATTAAGGGTTGATAATATTTATTATTTTCTTCTCTTCAATACCATTGTATTCAAGTACAATTGCCTACATTCATAAACTAATAGTTTTTTATTTCATTTTGACAATACTTTTCATAATTATAATTATTTATTAATATATCATATATAATCTAGATATTCACTCAATATCATCCCACAAATTTGTTTTCATTTCAATTCAATAATAAAAAAAAAAAACAAAACAAAACAAAAATATATAAAATTAAATAAGCATTCAATACAAAGTATAAAAAATATATAAACTAAAACGACACACATAAAATACAGCGTCAATAATTACCTTGTGAGAAACAAAAAAAAAACAAATCTCAAGACCCCGTTAATATGACTTCTCTTTCTGTTTTGTATATTCGCGTTCAGTTACACTTCACACAAAATTGCTTTTATTATTTTTTTATTATATCTTTTGCACAAGCACTGCACACACACTCTTGTTACGCTTTGTTGTTGCTCGTACAAATTCTATAAAACCCACTGAGTAATAAATGCTGATGACTGACTACGAACGACGACTTCACAGCACAACTGCTACAAACAAAATGAACGTCTGCGCCCAATACTTGTTTTCCTATAGAGGAAATCCAAACATGTCAGGCGAGCCGAGCCAGTAGTAAAAAGCAAACAACTACACAGCTATACTACCCGCATATATATAAGAGTACACAAACAAAATATGTATAATCTACATTCGACGACGGGTGTATAACAAAAGGTACAGAAAATACAGAAAATTTTAACTCGAAACGAGAAACCCAAAAACTACGCGCTGTAACGTTTTATGTGCGGCCCCATACAACACAGAGCAACCGACTGCTGTATAATAGCTGTACAATATATCTGTGGCTCGCTTGTTGCTGTCGTTCGTTTATGGTGGGGATGGAGACGAGTGTCGGAGCTAAACGAATATTTGCATGAAATTTCTGAACGAAATATTTTGTGTAGTCGTAGTCGTAGCCGTAGTCGTGGTCGTGGTCGTGGTCGTAGCTATAAAAAGCAACTCAGTCCGGGACCTATAATAGGTGGTTGATATGTTTTATTTCCTTCGTTTCTGTTCTTTTCTCTACATTTTGTTGTTGAAGAATATTTTTCGTTTTCTTTGTGTAGGATTAATGGTTGGTTTCTTGCTCAAAAAGGAGCGCACATATAATAAAGAAAATATCCAAATCCTAAATGTGATACGTATCTGTGCATCTGTACAAATTCTTTGTTGTCGCTTTTACGCTTGTAAGTGAATGTATTTCTTTCTTTTATAACTTCACGATGACCTTAAAAACTAATCATTTATCATCTATCAACATTTCACAAATGTTTGGAGGGATTTTTCAGAAAATTCACTTAGAAGATATTAAATGAATTGGGTTACGCTATTCCGTTTGTTCCAACAACATTTTATGTAGAAGTACGGCGTGTACATATACGATATTAATTCATTTGATGTCGTATTTATATGAATGTGTGTGTGTGTGCATACATAGGTGTGTGCTAGATTTTTTTTATCTGACAGCACCCAAGCACCATGGGGACTTGAATGCGTTTGCGATTTCCTTTTTAGCTTCTGTTGCTGTGTGCTGAGCTAAGCTGAGCGGTAACAAAGTTTTTACTTCCCTTCTTTCTGTTGCTACTATTACTGCAGCAAAGGTTATTGCTTGCGATTGCTTCATGCTCTACACATTTCTATAATATCTTTACCTCGCATCTATCTCTTAACTTTATAACTACTGAAAGTATCTTCACAACATTTTTCCCTCTGCCGCTCACATTTTCCTCAACTCGTATTTCATCATCACCATTGTCATACTACCTACCATCTGCGTTCGAATCGCTATAGAATATATGAATTGATGCCATGCCAAGTGATTCGGTTGGTTTTAGACAACAACTACAACAACGACAACAAGACCAACAACAGAAACAGCAACTATAAAAACGAACACGAATATATATACATACATGCGCACTCACATAAATATACAGATACATAAAGCGAACGAACGAGCTCACAAGCCCGTCCGTTGCTGTGCTCATGAACTGAGGAAAGAAGTCAAAGTTGTTAGTTCTATGGCACTTGGAATACTTTCAAAAATGTAATGCTTTAAGCATTGAAATATGGGAGCGGATTATTTTTCATAACAGAGCCACAGCTGAAGCATTATAGAAACCAAGCGAGTTTATATATCGAATATTTACATAGGTACACACAAAATGAATATGGTATGGCGACAGCAAATAAGATACATAATATCTATGGGGTTTTTAGTTTATATAACATTTACGAAGTATTTTCATTTAGATTATTGCAATAGATTTGTGTGTGTAATAATAAATGAAATATTCCAGATTCTAATGAGTCTTTAAGACTTTTTATAAAGATACAAAAAGATATATAAAAATAAAATCTTAATAATATAATTAATAATAGTTAATTTAACAGATTTTGTTAACAAAAAAAAATAAATAAAAAAATTAGAATAGAACAAATTAATAAAAGTATATTAAAAATAATATGAGGATGGGTCGAAAATTTCATACATTTCTAATGAAAAACACTTTTTTCTTTAAAAAAATGAAGTTTTATATCTCAACGCAGTCCCCTAGTAGTTCAGTACATTTCCTTTAATGTTTCTGCAGTTTATGACCTCTTCCAAATCATCATGTTTTTCTAGATCCTTAAAATAAATAATTATTTGTATCTGTTGTAAGAGTCAAATCCTTATTTTATTGAATCAAGTCATCGGGGTTTTGAAACAAAAAATAGTCAAAACAAATACAAATCCATAGATTATCTTGAGTGTAGACCACTGCTTACTCTGCTAGCGCTCTCTAGCGGTTTTTCTAAGTTAACTATTAACTAATTTTTTATATGTAAAAACGAAAATTATTTAAATAATATTTAAAAAAATATATATATATATATATATATATAATATACATAAATATATATATATATATATATATATAATATATATACTATAAATATTATATATATATATATATACATATATATATAATAATATACATATATAGATATTTATAATAATAATCTGTATAAGTATAAGTTAACACCTTACTTTATAATATAATTATTAAAATATTAATTATTATACCCTACGTTTTAAAAGTAATGCAGCTTATATACAAATACAAATCTATATGTACTAGAACTATTTAGTTGGTAAATATATTATTTTGGTAGCATAGTTTATAATAGTATCAACCACAAAACTTATGTAGAAATTTAAAAAATACTCTTACAATTTTATATACATACATATAGCAATTAAAATAAATAGTATATTATATATAAAAATTTAGATTAAATGAATGAAAAAGTATTTAAAAAAAACTTAAGTTTAAAAAAAACTTTTATTAAGATTCATCTGTGATAACCTTTATCTAATACTATTTTCGTAAGTATGTAGAGGGTTATACTTCTTATGAAATTATCAGTCGCTTATATAGATCTACAATATCAATCGTTAAAAATTCAGAGTTAACTTATCATGAGTTGTTAAATGTATTCGTATCAAATGAATGAGCTAATTGAGCTTAGGTAAGAACATAGCTCCATAGCTGAACAAACTAAAAATATATATATGTACTCATGCCAATCAAGATAATAGCTACTATTGAACTTAAATTACAGAATTATTTTGCATAAAATAAAATAATAATACACTTATATGTTAAAACTCATAACATTTAAATTTTAATTTCCTTAATATAAAAAATAATGGGTTGGCCAAAAAGTATTCGGCACTTTTCTCTTATTCTCTTATTTTCTCTCTTCCTCTTATTTTTGAAATGCAACAAGTGACAGGTAAATGATAATATCGATAAATATTTTTTTGATGCGTGATAGATAGTTAATGCAAAGCAAAGATTATAAATAATAAGAAATACAAAAAAATAAGGCCCAGAGAGGTTTAAAATGAAACGATATATGCTAACTATATAATACACATGGTAATTTATTTTTATCGCAATCAATTGTTATGAACTGGTTTGCTCGTTTTCAGTCTGAAAATTTGGATGTAAAATATGCTGCTCGTTACAGACCTATCTATAGACCTATTACTAAACTCCACGATGAACTTCAAGATGACCGCAACGTTCAGTCAATCCATTAATAAACAACTGAATAGCAATCATAATACTATGCAACCATATATATAATTTCGAATTTCAATTTGTGGATCTCTATTAAAATGGATTGAAATTGAGCTATTTTCGAGATGTTTGGGCACAGTTGATGAAAAGTGGATCAAGCATAACAATTTTGTACGAAAATACTCTTAGTCCAATAAAAATAAAATTCCAAGTCTAATAGTACTGTATAAATTAACTATAAGGTTAGTATTATATAGTGCGATTGAGAGGACACCATTCATGATACTATAACCACAGGATGTCAGCGATTATTGAGGACACCATTCAATATACTAAACCCCAGGATGTCAGCGATTATTGTAATTAAATCAAGAAATTGAAAAAAAGGTGATCAAATGGATTAAGAGGACAGGTGTGTTAATTCGTAAAGACAACGTTAACCCATACATTCACACATCTCTTTTTTGACCCGACAAAAAAATAATGGTAATAGGGGTTAATCCTGAATTTGCGTCGTCAGATTATTTTATATCTTTCGATCTCTACCTCAAAAAAAAAACCAATAAATAATACTTCTTGACTTTTTACAGTTTTTGTAGTTATTTTATATATTCAACTTCGTAATTCTGAGGAATAATGAAACAATAATGGGCCTAGAATTAATGGACCTAATAATGAACATAAGAGGGGTGAAGTTAATGTTTTACTTTTATAACAATAAAATTTTGGAGAGTTTTAAAAATCAGGTAAAGTAACATATATTTAGTTTGGAATAAATCTTTATATCCAACCGAATATAAGAGGAATTCTTCACAAAATATTTTCCCTTTGTTCAATTTCATATTTATAAAAATTGTGTATGTCTAATTGTCCTTCACCGTCAGCGTCACCATTATCACTCTTTTCTATGCATAGGTTTTTCGAAAATTCGATACTCCTATGCGTTAACTCATTTTATTATGCATACCTATTTCTACCCATGCTTGAAATATATTATCTTTTTGTATTTTCTGTACATTGGTTTTCCGAGTATTCTATACTTCCATACTTGTAACTCATTTTATTATACATACCTATTTCTACCCATACTGGCAATCTATATATACCCATACTGGCTAGTGGCCTGCCTGAATACACAAACATATTTTATTTCAATACCCACACATATACTCTGTTTTATTGTACAGACCGGCATTAACTTCTAGGGTTTGTACATATATTTTCATTTCGTTTTTATTTTCGTATCGTATTTGTTCGTGGACTTTGAGTCGGTTCTATGTAAAGAATTCTAAGGTTTCATTTGCGTTACTTTACTTATATACATTCGACTATAATGCACCTTTATTCATTTTGACATCCTTTTAATACTAATTGCTTGAAAAATCCTATGGAAAGTTTCTCGTTGAAACCTTTTTGTAGGCATAAAATTATACAGAATTCCTGTCGTGCAACCAAAGTTTTAGGGGTGGAAAAT